GATTAATTTGGTATAAATATCTCATTTTTGAATCTGAGGGTCGAAACCCACTTTTTCCTAGAACAGCCCCCATATAAATTAAAAAAAAAAACAGATCACCCAATTTTAGCAAAAGTTTAGATTCTGGTAGAAGTTTAAGTATTAGTATCGGTTCCTGGAATTAAAAATGTTAGCTTCGATATCTAGATTCACGATACTGTTACTTTGCCAGCTTTTGAACGGGAATCTGGCATATCAGAATAGCCCATAATAATAAGGGTACGCCAATCATCAGAAAGATTATAAGTATATGTACGTCGTATAATTTTTTTACCATTTTCCTGATGCATCAGATATTAGCTGCAAGAAGATGGAACAATAAAGGATTGAAAGCCACCAAGTCATTCTCACTGCAAATTTGATACTTTGTTGTTTGATCGTGATATGGTGGGCGAAAATGATGTTTTTTGTATGAAAAGAGGATGTCAACGATGTTATGTCAAAGGAAAAAATCTGTCATCATGAGTTAAAACACTAATTACGTTTCATGCCTACTATTGTCTCTTAACAATTAAGGAATATTAATATTAAATGTACAGTAAACCTCCTTTCAACGAATAATTTTGCTTCACATAAAATTTTGGTATAACGATTTTAAATGCAATTTTCTTATGTGTCTGTCCGTAAATTTATTGAACGAGATTTGACTGCTAAAGATATCGACCGCGATTAGCAGTGTTGTAAATGGGACATGTCCACCTAATATTGAGCGGACATGGACATGTCCTGAACAATGTCCAAAAATGTCCGCGTAACAATTTGTGTCCGCTCATTTTCTTAAATGTCCGGGACCAGTAGTACAAACCACAAGCTATACGTGAGAAAAAGCCTTTACCACCTTTATTAACTCAATATATTATTAAAACAATATAAAACTAAACCAAAGCAATTCAAAACCGTTTTGTAAACATGCGTTGAAAAATTAGGAGGGGAGGAAGGGAAGAAAAAATGGGTTCCAAACAAAAAGATCGAATAATTCGGCATTTATTTAATTAAATGATTCTATATTAATAATCCAGAGCCTTGCTTTAGAGTAGAGGCAGAAAGTTAATATAAAATTATTTTTTTACAAATAATTCATTTTAATAACCATTTTCATAAACAAATTAATTCTTTTTTTGTTTAATAAAACACTTTTATGGTCGAAAATTAAACAGTAGGGTTTAACCTCCATTTGGTTATCAGAGTGGTTAAGGCAAAGATTTTTTTTTTAGATATTTGTTTTAGAAAGAAAGCAAAGGTTTAATTTTTTGGTTTTTGTTAAGTGTAAATGTTTTTGTTTATTTTTTTGTTAATTGATCACCTATACAAGTCATTATCACATATTGAATTATTTTATTCTAAAGTAATTGTTGCATACATACAGCTGACTTCAATTGGCCAAAGAAAGTAAAAGTAAAGCAAATAAAAGGAACTCTAGAGGAGCTTTATTGCTTTGCTAATTGTACTATAAAGTGTTTACGGATTCACCAAAGCTTTAAGAAAGAGGTAGTAGACAAAAATTTATATTTTTGTCCAAGAATGGTCCGGGACATTTAAAGTGACGGACATGGACACGGACAGATTTTTATCATTTTATCATATAAATTTTAAAAAAAAACCAGATCATCCAATTTTAGCAAAAGTTTAGATTCTGGCAGAAGTTTAAGTATTAGTATCGGTTCTTGGAATTTAGTGTTGGTTTCCAAAACTAGAGAGTTTCGGAACCGTGTGAAAGTCAAAAGGTTTCTCCATAAGTCGAAACTAGTTTTGATTTTTGACTATTGGCTTTTGGTTTAGTTTTGACATATAACTTTTAATTTTAGTTTTGATTTTCGTCTCTTCAAAATAGTTTTGGCGACCAATACTAATGTGAGCCTACATCATTATTTGTTGTTTCAATTATAAAATAAACAGCAACAGCAGGCTCAAGAACGGTAATTTTGTCAGTGTTATTTGTGCCAACATCGTGTGGAACATTTTAATATCTTATCTACATTTACGCCAACAATTTTTTTCTTTTCCACGTTTGGAAGCATCAGAATGTAAGCAGAAATAGGTAATAAAAACATTGGCGATATTGCCATTAAATATTGAAACAAAATAATTGTTTTAAATATAAATACTGTCAACTTTAACAGAAAGGCAATCTCGTATAGAACAGGATTGGCAAATGTGTAGTCCATTGGATCCATTAATGTAACATATTTAATATTCTATTAATGGCAATGGATCAGGCAATTTGCCAACCCTGGTGCAGAAAGATTATTTGTTTGATAGCTGATATAATTATTTGTATATAATAATAATGATATTTTTGTTTGTTTTTGAGAGAAAGAATTACAAGTTTTTTTATTACGAGAAATTTTTTGAGAAAAAGAGGTTTCCATAGGGGTTTTTATAAGAAAAGTCTTGATGGGAAGTTTTTTTGGTTTTTTTTTTCTGAGAAAAAAAATTTTTTAGACAAACAAATTTAACATATGCAAAACCACGAGAATAAAAAATGTAGTGAGTGACGTAACTTTATGCGATTGATGTAGATATTTTTGATGTTGTCGTAATTTTTTGTTAATTTACCACAAATACAAGGGTCATATTGATCAATTATCGTTTGATCTGGTAATTAGTATTAATATATTAGGTATATATTAGGTTAGAACAAAGCAAAAACCGTGAGAACAAAGCACATATATTTAAAACCTTGTGATGTGGTGGCGTTAGCAACTAACTTGATACTATGAAGTATATAGTCGTTTGCATAAATATAAGAGGTTTATTTTTTTTTCCTCGATTATCATTATTGTTCATGTTCATCTTGCTTTGTATCCTTCGTTGTACGATGACAATTTTTTTTATTTTTGTATAACAATTGAAGAAAAATCTGCGTGTTTTTAAAAGGAGAGTAAAACTATATACCGTATATTTCCGAAAATAAGCAACGTTCGTGAATATGAAACCTCTCTCTTCAATCCCAAAAGTAATGAATTCATGAATACATCTTTTTAGATTAAAAAATTACTAAAATTTTTTTATGCAACTTTACTGTTAAATTCAATTATTACTGTTTGTTTGTTATCTGTTGAATAAAAATTAGATTGATTGATATTGATGGGATAATTGAAAAAAGTTATGATTTGCATAATATAAATAAATTCAGTATTTTTCTGGTGGGTATCATCATACTGATATAAACAAATTAATATTAGCTGTGGTTTTTCATCAAATATGACGAAATCATAGGGATGGGAAACGTAAATTTCATGCGCATATGGTTATGCAGTGCAATCTTTTTTTTTAGTTTATATTAAAAAAACAATTACATCATTATTTAATAAAAATATTATAATAATAATGCTTTCATCATTATTGTCATCATCATTAATTGTAAAACGTGTGCAAGTACATCTTTACTACATTTTTAAAATGTGCTTCACATATTTCCCAACTTTTCAAAAATGATTTTATTGTGTAATAATATAAATTTATAATTCTCTGTTGAAAAATTCAGTATGGGGTATTTCTAAATTTATACTTAAAGTTACACGACGAAAGTCATAATCACAACTTTTTTCATATTAATTAGAACCATTATAATTATTACTTTTCATATACCTATATATGTATTATAAATTATTTAATTCTAAAGTAAGGGTTTGTTGATATTTTTGCTTGAACCACAATGTTTAATAATCTCAAACATATTTTTGATGACTCTGGTCTTGTGGGCTCTTGTTAAATCGGCAGTTTTTATTTGATTTGTATATCACTAGTCCTGCTAGTATTTTAATAAAGTCCATCTTTCTGGATCTCAACTAGACTTCTCGTTAGCCTCTCTAAATATTTTATTAAGTGAAAAAGAATTATTAGAACGGATTATTTGTGAAGAAACAATTTGATGT